CCTACATTTGTTTTATGAGAAACAGCTATGTGGCTCTACCTAGTTGCCAGACAAGTGCCAGTCTTGGCTGTGTGGCCACTTTCCAGCTATAGTTCCATATTATGGAAGAATTGCAAATATTCAGTGACAACTAGCCATATGCATTCTCTTTCTTGAAAATGTAAGAGAATCTACTTTTGAAAGTGTCTAAGCCTGGCACTTCATAGGGGTTATTTATTGACAGCACTATTTTTACTCCATTGTTATTGGTCTTCATAAAAATTTGTGGAAATTCAGCTGGGCGCAGTGGCTTACACCTGTAATTCCAGCACTTTGGGACGCCTAGGCGGGTGGATCACGAGGTCAGGAGATCGAGACCATCCTGGCCAACACAGTGAAACCCCGTCTCTACTAAAAATACAAAAATTAGCCAGGCGTGGTGGTGGGTGCCTGTAGTCCCAGCTACTTAAGAGGCTACTCGAGAGGCGGAGGCAGGAGAATCGCTTGAACATGGAGCACAGAGCTTGCAGTGAGCCGAGATCTCGCCACTGCACTCCAGCCTGGGCAACAGAGAGAGATTTCATCTCAAAAAAAAAAAAAAAAAAAATTGGAAATGTATATTTTCCCCCAAAATTATTCATCTAAATTTTCTAATGTAATAGCTTAGATTTGTGCAATAGATTCTCAAATAAGTATTTTAAATTTATTTGAATCACTGGTTACATCTATGCATCTATGTATTCCTTTAATCCTGACTCAGACAATAAACTGTTTATCTAATTTGTTAGTGTTTTCAAGGAAAAATAATTGAGTCTACTTACGAATTCTATTATTTATCTGCATAGAATTTTTTGAGTATTAAATCTTGCATTTGTATTCGGATAGTGTTTGTTTGTTTGTTTGTTTGTTTGTTTGTTTGTTTGAGACATTGTCTCACTTCATCACCTAGGCTGGAGTCTTGGCTCACTGCAAACTCCGCCTCCCAGGTTCAAGTGATTCTCGTACTTCAGCCTCTAAAGTAGCTGGGATTACAGGCGTGGGCCACCACCTCCAGCTAATTTTTGTATTGTTAGTAGAGATACGGTTTCACCATGTTGGCCAGGCTGGTCTCGAACTCCTGACCTTAGATGAGCCACCTGCGTTGGCCTCCCAAAGTGCTGGGATTATAGGCGTGAGACACCATGCCCAGCCATGTATTCAGATAGATTTTTAAAGCAATAGTGTAGGAGCGATGTAATTCCTAAGCCCTTGTATATTTAAAAATTATTCTTTTACCTTAACACATGAATCACAATTTAGCAGCTGGGAACAGAATTCTTGGGTAATATCCTTTTCTTCTCAGAACTTTGTATACACACACACACACACACACACACACACACACACACACAGATAGACAGAGAGAGAGAGAGAGAGAGAGAGAGAGTTTTTATTTTCTGAAGCGTTTGAGGTAAATAATATACCCTCATTGGGGCTGGATTTGGCCCCTGAACTGCAGTTTGTCAACCCCTGCAACAGATGCTGAAATGGAATGAAGAAATAAAGAAGAGTTAAAGGAACTTTTTTAATTGGCAAAATCATGAGTCATATACAAATACAAAATGAACATATATAAAAATTTTTAGTTAGTTCTTTAAATAATGGGAGAATCAGTAAGATGTTACCACTGGTTCAAAGGTGAAATTCAAACAACCCTCCCACACAGACACATGCACGCACACATGCACACACACACACACACAATCAAGGGTGCTGAAATAAATTTACTAATGGATGCAAAATTGGTCAATATCCATGGGCAATGATCAATTGTATTCCTCTGGACAAAATTCATTTGCATTTCTAGAGACAATAATCATCTGCTTTATCCTTTTTTCAACTTTCAACATTGTAAAACAGCTCAAAGATAATGAGAGGCTCAAGCCCCTACATTCATGGCCACATTAGGGAAACTGAGACCCTGATGAGGCTTTTCAGCTATCAAATCAAGCATAATGACATCTTAGCATGTACTGATTTCAAAATATCCAATTCAGACCTTAATGCTGCTTTATAGGGAATGCTAAAAATTAATTTGTATCATTTATTTATAAAATGTAATAGCATTTTTATAATACATTATAAAAGAAACATTCCAACTCCTCTATTGCAAGAGTAGGTGCTGTCTTAGCCAAGACGACTTGAAACCACCTTTGCAAAAATCGTATCAGTGAAAAAATTATGGCAGTAGAGGAGATCTGATCTAGCCCACATCCCTCTTGTCTTTAGCTTTCAAGCTGCCTTTAATTATTCCCGACCTAACTTTGGAAGATGCTTAGGTTGTAGTTTAAATGGTAATAGCCCTTTCTCCAAAACTCAGCCACCCTTGTAAAGCTAATGAGAGACCACCAAACTAGGTAGGGGGAGAAGAGGAGCTGAATTCTGCAAAGATATAGACTGACCACAAGATATGAAACTTCCCTAACCACCTGCAGATAACATCACAATTGTAGATTGGCCTTTTGAGATATCTTTTCAGGTTTTTTTTTGCATGTCTGACACTGATGGCTCCACTTGGACCCACCAAACCACTCCTGTGCCCACCCTCCCAGGAGTGACTCAGCTAAAGAGGACAGCTTTAACCCTCTATGATTTTATCTCTGACCCAGCTAATCAGTAGCAAGCACAAACTTCTTAACCACCCCTATTCCTTCCTCCAAACTGCCTTTGGCAAAACCCCTAATTTGGGATCCTTCCATGAGACTGATTTGAGTAATAACTGTCTCCCATGTGGTGTGGCTGGACTCATATCAATTAAACTCTTTCTTTACTGCAATGCTGTGGTCTTTATTTGTGCAGCAGGCAGGATGAACCCATTGGGTGATTACAGAATTTGCATAGGGACAGAAACATTAAAGTGGCTTTCAAGATGCAGACTGAAATCACAGCTCCAACACATACTGGCTGTATAGTCATGGGGAGATAAAGTAACGTCTACCAGTCTCAGTTTCTTCATCTGTAGCATGATAATAGTAAGTACTTCATTGGGCTGTTATACAAGTATAACAGCCTAATGTATTATATTGAGGTAATACAAGTGACACACTTGGTATATAGGCTGGTACAAAGTAATCACTCAATATTGTTATTTTATTTTATTTATTTGTTTGTTTGTTTATTTTTGAGACAGAGCCTTGCTTTGTCGCCCAGGCTGGAGTGCAGTGGCGTGATCTCTGCTCACTGCAACCTCTGCCTCCTGGGTTCAAGCAATTATTGCGTCTCAGTCTCCCAAGTAGCTAGGATTACAGGCACCTGCCACCATGCCTGGCTAATTTTTTTATTTATAGTAGAGACAAGATTTTACTATATTGACCAGGCTGGTCTCAAACAACCGACCTCAAGTAATCCACCTGCCTCGGCCTCCCAAAGTGTTGGAATTACAGACATGAGCCATCATACCCAGCCCTGTTATTTTTCTTTTAGATCAGGGACTTGATAACATCTAATTTATCTAAAATTTGCCAAGATATGATTTTGGACACTCTTGACAAAGCTGTGAGTTACTATATTTATGTCACATTTGTGTTTTATTAGAGAACGTTATTATATCTTGGTGGGAAATACCAATACATTGAATTTTCTAGAAACTTGCTGAAGTGTAGGGGCACGGAATTGCCACACCTCTCCTAAGGTATCCTCTGATACCATTTATCCTGGGGTGTACATTTAGGTTAGTAGAAAGAAGAGGAACACCATCTAATTTTCTATAGGAATCAAAAGGTTCTTTGAATTACATTCAGTCTTCTCTGAAAGTCTCAACTGACACTATGGAAATTAACCTTTCCAGCATGGATTCAATTTTATTAGAACCTAATATAGGGAAACATCTTGTTCTATACAATTTTTTTTTTTAAAAAGCAGACATTTTCCACACTAAAATGAACACAGAGGAAGAATTATTTTGAACCTAATTTTATTTGAAGTAAATTATAGACACTTAGTTGCATCTTTTCTGTTCAATTTATAGCACACATTAGACATTTAAGAAACTAGAATTGTTATACCCTGCTACTAGAAAGGAGTCCTGATCCAGACCCTGAGAGAGGTTCTTGGATCTCATGCAAGAAAGAATTCAAGGTGAGGCCATAGAGCAAAGTGAAAGCAAGTTTGTTAAGAAGGTAAAGGAATAAAGCAGCCCCAAGAGCTGCTGGTTGCCCATTTTCATGGTTATTTCTTGATTATATGCTAAACAAGAAGTGGACTATTTATACCTCTCCTTTTTGAACCGTGTAGAGTCTAAAACTTCCTGACATTGCCATGGCGTTTATAAACTGTCATGGTGCTGTTGGGAGTGTAGCAGTGCGGACCGCCAGAGGTCACTGTCATCGCCATCTTGGTTTTAGTGGGTTTTAGCGGCTTTTTTATGCAACCTGTTTTATCAGCAAGGTCTTCATGACCTGTATCATATACTGACCTCCTGTTTCATTCTATGACTAAGAATGCTTTAATGAATGCAACCTAGTAGGTCTCAGCCTTATTTTACTAAACCCTTCTTCAAGATGGAGTTTGCTCTAGTTCAAACACCTCTGACCCCTGCACTTCTAAATTGAAAAAAAAAAAAAAATTATCACTGAAGTGACTTTATTTTTAGAACCATGAAGATTTTTTTTCTTAAATGTAACATTTTTCTATATGAAGAACTGTCATTTTAATTCCATACCCTACTCACTCATCACTCTGCTCAAATTATCATTCCAATTCTCAACTCAGTGGTTTGTTGTTGCTGTGGGTTTTTTTTTTTTTTTTCTATTTATGGTAGATGAAAACTAACATTGATGTTATAAAAATAACATTAAGATGCACACTCAAAGCCCATAAGAAAATCTTTCTGGGTTGAGGACATTTCTGGCTGGGTTTTCAAACAACAAAAGTCTGTTGACTTTTGAAATATCCTTTATTTGACATTGGATTGTTCTTTTGCCTGTTTGATCAGAACAGGTGAATTTAATTTTCTCTTTTCTTTGTGCTATTATCAACTGCAGGCACCTCTTTAAGAGGACCCAGTAGGAGAGATCTGCCCTTGAAATGCTAAAATGGGGAAAACAGCTTGAGAATGTTATGAGGCAAGACAGACTGACGTGAAAGATATTTTCATCTCTGTGCACTTGGTGCCAACTCAAGGCCAAGTTAGGAAAACAGTCCACGATGTACTGTAAAGTAATACTGAATGGAACAGGTGAGTTAAGAATGGAGTAAGAATGGAAAAGTGAGTCAGACATAAAGTCACAACACCCTGAATTTGTCCTCAAGATAATTATCAGTGGCATTAATTGGCAAATTTCTGTTACTATTTAATAGTAAACTAATTAATACTAGAAATATTTGCATTTTGTGGAGAGAACAAATGTTCTCAGTATAAAACTAAATGGGGAAGTGGAATTTAGTTTCAAACTCTGACCCATCTCTTAAATCACTCATTTCTATTTCAAGCTGAAGGAGAGAAAAAATATTGTGCATGAGACCTATAAGAATTTAGAGTGCTTATCAGGAAAAGGAGAGTGTTCTGCTAATAAGGGTTTTATTTAAATTTACTAAGGGAAAGTGTATTTTCTGCTTCTATGGCAATTTTTCTGTATGACTACTTTCTAACAAAAATGAAATCTTTCTGTCCAAAATAGGTGAGTGCCTTAAATGAGAGAGCCTATATCATAGTCTTTGATTGTTGATCCTGTTTTTACATGACCTTGGAACCATCTCAGGTTCTTAATTCTTAGCTTTTCCTTTACATAACTATAAAAATGGAGATGATAAAATGCTGAAAAGTTTTAAATGTTTGTATGTGTTTGTTTACTTTGTTCTGGGATTCCCGAGTGGGCATTTTTATCTCTATGAAATATTACTACACTGGGAACTTAAAAATACAGGGGCAGATTCAGGGGGCAATGCCATAAAAGTGAAGACAACCTTGATGAAACAGAACTTTAAAAGTATGAACTTTTAAACACTTTAAAGATATATATCTTAGAATTAAGCTAAAAAACATTTTTCTGAATGTTGATGAGGGTACAGAGCAATAGAGCTTCTTATATACTGCCAGAGTGGCATGTAGTGGTAACATCTTTCTCGAAAGTAATTTATCAACATGTGTCAAGAACTTTAAAAATGTTTTTAAGCCAGGTGTGGTGGCTTATGCCTGAATTCTAGCACTTCAGGAGGCTAAGGCAGGTGGATCACTTGAGACCAGGAGTTCAAGACCAGTCTGGCCAACATGGTGAAACCCCATCTCTACTAAAAATACAAAAATTGGCAGGGGGCAGTGGCTTATGCTTGTAATCCCAGCACTTTGGGAGGCCAAGGCGGGCGGATCGCCTGAGGTCGGGGGTTCAAGACCAGCCTGACCAACATGGAGAAACTCCGTCTCTACTAAAAATACAAAATTAGCCAGGCATGGTGGTGCATGCCTGCAATCCCAGCTACTCGGGAGACTGAGGCACCAGAATTGCTTGAACCCAGGAGGCAGAGATTGCAGTGAGCCGAGATCATGCCCCTGCACTCCAACCTGGGTGACAGAGGGAGACTCTGTCTAAAAAAAAAAAAAAAAAAAAAAAAAAAAAAGTGCTTTTACTAATTTGCTTAGGCTGCCATAACAAAATACCGTAGACTCAGTGGCTTAAACCACAGAAATGTATTTCTCACCGTTCTGGAGGCTGGTGTCCAAGATAAGGTGCCAGCTGATTTGATTTCTGGTGAGGACTCTCTCTCTGACTTGTAGAGGGCTGCTTTCTTGCTGTGTTCTCACAGAGCAGGGCTGCAGGAGAGAGAAATATCTTTCTTTTCTTATAAGACTATAGTCCTTCCTGTTGGTCAGGGTCCTATCCTTGTGACCTTTATTTCCTAATGACCTCTTTCCAGATATAGTCACATTGGAGATTAGGCCTAACATATGAATTTGGGTGGGGAACATAATTCAGTAATGTTCTTACCATTAGATCAAGAAATTCAACTTCTAGCAATCTATCCTGTGTGCAGAGTGTAAGGTATGGGTGGGGAGGAATGGGAGGGAACTGAAATGTAGCCCTGTATGTGAGCTTATTTATATTCATCACATTCTTTATTTACAATTTAAAATAGAAAAACAACACAATGTTCAAAAGATATTTTGTTTGACCACAACACACAAGTGTGTGTTTGTACCCTAACACACTCAAAAAATTGTTGAGTGTGTTATGGCACAACATAGACAGAAAATTAGACAGCCAAAACTTTTCATTTTTTTTAATCATGGGAAAATGATTATGTTCTATTTTAAAATATAGGCTAATGGCCAGGTGCGGTAGCTTATGCCTGTAATCCCAGCACTTTGGGAGGCTGAGGTGGGCAGATCACCTGAGGTCGGGAGTTTGAGACCATCCTGGCCAACATGGTGAAACCCTGTCTCTACTAAAAATACAAAAATTAGCTGGGCGTGGCAGCGCACGTCTGTAATCCCAGCTACTCAGGAGGCTGAGGCACGAGAATGACTTGAACCCAGGAGGTGGAGATTGCAGTGAGCCGAGATCGAGCTACTGCATGCCAGCCTGGGCAACAGAGTGAGACTCCATCTCAAAAAAAAAAAAAAAAAGAAAAAAAATGTAGAATAAAAAGTTATTTATGTACTGTGATATCCACAATGTAAAATATATGGATAGATGCATAGAGAAAAGCCTTAGGAAATATATTACAAAAGATTAACAATGATTATGTCTGGGTAGCAGGATTATACGAATTTTTATCACATTTTTTGCAATAAGCATATAGTGTATTGATAACATAAAAAATATTTTTTCAAAATATATATGTAAATGTGCAATAAAGTCAAAATAGGAAAGCTAAATGTGTCTGATTATCTAGGAAACCCACCAAGTATCTTAATGATGAGATGACATGAAGAATTTTCAAATAAAATCTCAGGTAAATAAATTTAGGCTTTATTTATTTGTTTGTTTGTTTATTTTAGCTCTATTGTTCTTTGTAATCCCCAAAGTGTTTCCTTCCTTGTTCTGCCCATGTTTACCGGTTGGAGATAGAAAAATAAGGAGAATGTGTCTGTTTCTGATTTAATTCCTTATATTGCGTTATTTTAATTACAGTATGTAAATTGAATTTATTGTTCTTTTAGATAGGGCTGCTGAATGGAACACACAAAAAGCCATTTTTTTTTTTTTGTATGTAACTTTTTTTATGCCTTGCCTTATTTCCAACATAGGGGTCCTCAAATTTTCTCTACAACAGAGTTGAATTTCAAGCGTCAGTGGAAGTAACGATGAAACCTGATCTTGTGCTATTAAAGAATCTCCTACTGCTGCTCTCTATCCTTAAGCTTGATGAGATCCCTTTTGAAAATAAATGTTCAGGCTGGGCGCGGTGGTTCATGCCTGTAATCCCAGCACTTTGGGAGGCTAAGGCGAGTGGATCACCTGAGGTCAGGGGTTTGAGACCAGCCTGGCTAACATGGTGAAACCCCATCTCTACTAAAAATACAAAAATTAGCCGGGCATATTGACGCATGCCTGTAGTCCCAGCTACTTGGGAGGGTGAGGTGGGAGAATTGCTTCAACCCAGGAGGTAAATGTTGCAGTGAGCTGAGATAGCACCGCTACACTCCAGCCCTATTGACAGAGCGAGAGTCTGTCTCAAAAAGAAAAAGAAAAGAAAAGAAATGTTCGTTATTACAAACAATTCTGCCTGACACTGAAACATGACTTTTGTTATTGTGGATTGGTTTGTCTTTCTTTTTTTTTTCCTTTTTTTTTTTCCAGACGGAGTCTTGCTCTGTTCAGGCTGGAGTGCAATGGCACGATCTCGGCTCACTGCAACCTCTGCCTCCCAGGTTCAAGCGATTCTCCTGCCTCAGCTTCCTGAGTAGCTGGGATTACAGGCACGCACCACCACACCTGGCTAATTTTTTTTCTATTTTTGGTAGAGACGGGATTTCATCATGTTGGTCAGACTGGTCTTGAACTCCTGATCCCATGATCCACCTGAGTCAGCCTCCCAAAGTGCTAGGATTACAGGCGTGAGCTACTGCAACCAGCATCAGGTTTACTTTATATATTTTTATTTTTATTTGATTTAAAGTCTCACTCTGTCACCCAGGCTGGAATGCAGTGGCATGATCTCGGCTCACTGCAACCTCTACCTTCCAAGTTCAAGTGATTCTCCTGCCTCAGCCTCCCGACTAGCTGGGATTACAGGTATGTGCCACCATGCCCAGCTAATTTTTGTATTTGTCATAGGGATGGGGTTTCACCATGTTGGCCAGGCTGGTCTCAAACGCCTCACCTCAGGTGATTTGCCCACCTCGACTTCCCAAAGTGCCGGGATTACAGGAGTGAGCCACCATGCCCGGCCCAGGTTTACTTTAGAATGTCCTTGGACAACAGCCTAACCGCCTAATGAATTATTCCTACCCATTGCACAGACAAAACCAATTCACTGAGACCATGGCACTGCAATAAAAAAAAAAAAGTTTAATTGATGTGAGGCTGGTCACACCACATGGCAGACTAATTTATTACTCCAATCAATTTCCCTGAAAATGTGAGCCTGGGCAACATGGCAAAACCCATCTCTACAAAAAAATACAAAAATTAGCCAGGTGCACCTGGAGTCCCAGCTACTTGGGAGGCTTAGCCCAGAACGTCAAGGCTGCTGTGAGCCGGGATCACACCACTGCACTCCAGCCTGGCAACAGAGTGAGACCCTATCTCTAAATAAATAAACTATAAACTAAATGTCTCTCAAAGTTAGCTTGGCCCAAGCCCAAGAATAATTAAGGGCAGTTTGGAGATTAAAGGCAAGATGTGGGTTGCTTAGATCTCTCACTGTCATAATTTTCTCACTTTTATAATTTTTGTGAAGGCGATTTCAAGAAGTGGAGTCTATTCAGTTAGTTGGGGTATTTAGAATTTAATTTTGGTTTACACTTTCCAAAAAGCCCAGCTCTGAGAGGTGAAACTCTAGGCTTTCAAATATATATATATATGTGTGTGTGTGTGTGTGTGTGTGTGTGTGTATGTGTGTACATATATATATGTATTCAGACAGGGTCTTGCTCTGTCACCCAGGCTAGAGTATAGTGGCATGATCCCAGCTTACTGCAGCCTCAAACTCCTAGGCTCCAGAGATCCTACTGTTACAGTAGGTAATTAGTCTAATATGAGCAGAGCAGGAGAGGCTCCTCCGCCATCAGGAATGTCAGGTGACCATCAGGTAGTGGTCAGTCAGTGGTTACACTGTCTCTTTAAAAGAATAATTAGTCGCAGCTGGCGGCAGGGAAAGACAGTCTCCCAATAGATAGAAATGCCTGAAACTGGTGATCAGCATCTTCCCACTAAGATCTCAGGAGTTGAGCAACTGGCCTCAAGCATGTGCACTAAGAGGCAAAATAGCAGAGTTTAACTGGTATATGAACTTTCTCTGGAAATGCTTGACTGTTAAGGGAAGAACGCCTCAAGTGAGCATGTGTACAACTTCAGTAAACACACTTCAAGTGCAGCCCCACCAAGTGCTAGCAGGCCACTGTGCATGCAGACAGCCCACCCCAAAGGAAGAATCAGGGGAGAAGTAATGCAACCCTGGAAGCATGCCAGTGTATAAGATCCCAAGTCAAAGGCCAGACTGCACACTTGAATCTCTCAGGTTGCCTGCTTGGCCATCTTCCAGTGTGTTTTACTTGCTTTCATTCCTGATCTAAAACTTTTTAATAAACTTTCATTCCTGCTCTAAAACTTGCCTCAGTCTCTCACTCTGCCTTATGCCCCTTGGTCAAATTCTTTCTTCTGAGGAAGCAAGAATTGAGGTAGCTGCAGACCTATATGGATTCGCCACTGCCAACACTCCCACCTCAGCCCTCTGAGTGAGTGGGACAACAGGTGTGCATCATCATGTTCCGGTGTGTGTGTGTGTGTGTGTGTGTGTGTGTGTGTGTGTCTGTGTGTGAAGATGAGTTCTCACTATGTTGCCCAGATTGGTCTCAAACTCCCAGACTCAAGTGATCCTCCCTCCTTGGCCTCCCAAAGAGCTGGGATTACAGGCATGAGCCACCACACCCAGTCCCTCAAAAATATTTTCTTATTTGTGTTTTTCAAAAGCTTATTTTAGAGTACAAATGCTACCAATTTGACTATTCCATCTCTATGTTAAGTATACTGAGTAGTTCAAATTTCATAATATAATTTACAGAAGGTGGGAACAACC